AAACATGTCCTAGTTGTCCCGAGTAAGTCAGGGCCCGAAAAAGTGCCCTATATGGTGCAAAATGGCAAGATAGGTAGAGAAATACCTAAGGCTTGTATTTTGCACAAATTTTATATTAATTTTCTCCCTATTTTAATGCAAAAATGATGAAGGAATATGGAGGAGATAATTGTATGGTTAGATAGGAAAAGAAGTTATTACGTGTACGGTTAGATGCAAGACATGTGTACGGTCAGATGCAAGACACGTGTACAGTTGGATTAAAAGCATGTGGATTGATGATGTAAGCATGATGTCATGGGACACTTGTCACCACAAAATTAAAAGAGAAAATGGACGGTCTAGATCAAACCACATATTTTTAAGATCAACGGTCTAGATTCAGTCTTGTTTTCTATAAATATCCCCTCCCCACCCCTCATTTTCGTACAAGCCATAGACCTATGGGAAAATGATAAGTCTCATATTTTATATATGTTTCCCAGTCCAAACTTATGCTTTTGTGGTCTTTAATTGTGTAAATTATGGTTATTGTGCATAAGGGGTATAAGGGTCAATTATGTGCTCTTATATGTTAATTCCTAAGTTTACTTCATTCATTGACTCCTAAGCATCCCACATACCTTAGAATAGATGACTATGAGCTTAAATTGATGTTACAGGTGATCAAAGGTTGTAGAAGATCAAAGGAAGTAGGTTCTGCCTATATTTGTCGTGACCAAATATGGTATTCACTGCAACTAATATACGTCCTAAGGGAAACACTGTCACTTATTCGTACGGTGTCATTTCTAAGTTAGTCGCGACGAAAACTCGAAATTCCCAGATTTAAATTCTAGAACACGTGTTAGTTCATGATTCTGTGATTTCTTCCATTTTTAGCTTCATTCTCTCCGTCCAGAGCTCTCCCACTTCGTCTCTCTTCACTACCCTACCATTCTCCATAATAATGCATCATTTCTACCCCAATTCTTCTATTTCAACCAATTATTCCCCTCCATTTCCCTTCAGATCATTGCTGCTGTGGTCATGGAAGTTGCAGAGCTTGATGAAGCTGTGATTTCAGTCATGAGAGGCTAGATCTTCATTCCTTGGTGTTCAATGAAGCCAATCTGAGTTCGTAGAGCTACAATTAGGAGTTTCTTCAACCTTAATCTTAGTTTCACTCTCTACATTCATATATTGTAGTTTTTATGGTTTAGATCTGTGATTTGTGATTGTAAAGAGGTGTAATCTGGTTGTTTTACATTGAGACTGAGATTTGGATTGTATTTTGCACTCTAATCAAGTGTTTGATTCTCTTGGTTGGTCATTTAGGGTGCTAGCATCATTAATTAAGAGAGTTAAATACCTACTATAGAACATAATCCATATTAGACATTTAGATGAGTTTGATGATTTAGGGTTCTAGCTCATTGAATTCATTGTTTGTAAAAGATCTTCATAAACCGAGTCTAGTAAAGGAACTGAACTCAATGAACAGAGGAACTAGGATGATTGGTGGACTTGACCATCAAGGATAATTCATACATTGCATTCACTTCATTCATTAAAATACAGAAATTACAAAGAGTTTAGATAGTTGTACTTAGGTTTTGATATAATCACAAGTTATATACATACTTCATACATCATATTTGGTTAAATTGATATTTGTGATAAGATTACTAAGGCATTCAAAGGCTCCTCAGGAGATTGACATCTAGGATAGTGCTACTATATTGCATTTAGCTTAGTTTTATTTGAGAGTCTAACGACAAGGCTTCATCAAATTTGGTGCCGTTGCCAGGGAGCTTAGCTCTTTGGTAATCGAGTGCTCAAATATCATATTGTGATTGAGTTTTGCTGCCGTTTTCCTTACTTGTGATTTCTGGTTTTTGAGAAAACTTTCTGTAAATCCAACAAAGGTTTTGGAGTATAGTAAATTCTTTGATTTGTTTGGTGTTCTTGGTTGTGCATCTGCTGAAAAGTTGCTATTGGAAGTTATCCTGGTGAATTGGGAAGTGGTTGTGATAGATCTGATTGGAACTTGCTTTATTTTGTACCAGGTATTCGATTCTGTCAAATTTTTCACCTCAACCAACCCCTACTTTAGTCACGACTAAATCCTGAAAGAGGAGAAGTTCAATTCGGCCAAAGTTGTTTGTCGTGACCAATACTACTTGTAGTCGCGACAAAGTGCCATTTTGCAGACACTTTCAGGGACTGTTCTGAACTATCTTTCATAGCATTCTTTTAACCTTTTGCCGTTCTTTGGAGTATCTTAAGTTGCTATTGACTTGAATTCATTGATTCTTTGATTGGTTTATTCAATTTCTTGATTCTTGAAGATTGAATTGTTTTGGGTGCTTAATTTCTTGAAGTAGCCTAAGTGTTGTATGACCCAATCTGGAAAAGGAACACTTTTGCCACTGGACACTGAAATAAATAAGACTTTGAGAGTACTTAGGAAATAAAGATTACTTGAGGGTACTATTGGTTTACATTTTGAACATCCTAAACCTTTTACACCCCCATTTTTACTACATTCTAAATATTCTTGTGATTCATCTGAGTTTTCTAAATCTAATTCTTCACTTGGCAATTACATAGATCATCATTTTATCATGGATCAGAATAATATGTCTAAGGATAATGAGCCACCAAGGGTTAATGAAGTTCATAGAGAGGAAGAAAGACTTAATGTGAATAATAATGTACAAGAGCAACAAGCTAAAAACAATAGAGCTAATGTTAGGCATAGAAGCATAAGAGAAATGAATTCTTCTAATGTTGACTATAATCCTTATGGGTTCTATAATTTTAATGCTGACTTTGAATTGAAAGGAGCTTTGATAAGTGCCTTATCTAAATTCCATGGCAATGCAGGAGAGGATCCACATAGGCACCTCCAAAACCTTCACATGATATGCTCATCCATGAAGCCTCCTGGAGCCCACCTTGATGATGTACTGAGTAGAGCCATCTTGTTTTCTATGGAAGGCAAGGCTAAGGAATGGCTGCACATGTTGCCTCAACATTTTGCAACACTTTCATGGGAGCAATTGAAGAAGCAATTCCTGGAAAAGTATTTTCCAGCTTCAAGGACAGCTAGAATGAGGAAAGAGATCTATAGTGTGCAACAAGGGATTGGAGAAAGCTTGTATGAGTATTGGACAAGATTCATAGCCCTCCTTGCCAAATGCCCACATCACTAGATTTCTCAAGTTAAAGCTCTACATTCCACCCCCATGACTTAAGCTCTTGCTCCTACCACTTGTGATGTGTGTGCTAGTTCTATGCACACTACTCTTAATTGTCCCTCCATGATTGAGTCAAGAGATGTAGCTGCCATGAACTTCCAAAGACCCAACCAATCCTCACAAAACACTTACAATAATGGTTGGAGAGGAGACTTCACACCTAAGTGGAGTGGCAATGATAATAGAGGATTTCAAGGTGGTCCAGGTAAGAAAAATATGTATAAAGGTGTTGGAAATTCTCAAGGACAGTTTGGGAATGCCTCTATGGGAAATTATATAGGACCATCTACAACAAGAGAGATCCCAATTCAAGAACCAAATAGAGAGGACACTTTATTGAAGAAGATGAGCAAGCTATGTGACAAAGTGGAGCAACTTGAGGTCAAAAACAACAATCTCCAAGCCTATGTTACTCAAATAGTAAGTTCTAAAAGTGAGGAAGATGCTAGGAAAGGAAATTTACCATCCAACACTGTAATTAATCCCAAGAGCCTAAATGCCATAAGCTTGAGAAGTGGCAAGCTAGCTGGGAAGAAAGATGAGGAAAGTGAAGATGAAGATGTAGGAGTTGATTTTGATAAAAGTTTACAACTCAAGGAGCCAACCCTTACAGCTGTACCTTCATATGAAAGTGTGAAAGAGAAGAGCATCTTAAAGAAGAAGGCCACTACACTTGTGAATGATAAAGAGGATGTTGGAGCTGCTAAGGGAAGTCAACCTCACACTCAAGAAACCGCTTACAAAAAAAGTAATGAGGTAAATCTTCAAGAACTTCCCTTTCCACATTCTTATCTTCAAGGCATGAGAAAAGCTAGTTCTAAGAAGAAAGATGATGCTTGTTTGAGTTGTTTAGCAAATTAAAAGTTAATGTACCTTTACTTGAGTTAGCCTCTCAACCTAAATATGCTAAAATTTTAAGGGATATGTGTAAATATAAAAAGAAGTTCAAGCCTAATGAGATGGTCTAACTACCTTCTAATGTTAGTGCACTTTTTAAGCCCCAACTACCAGTTAAGTGTCAGGACTTGGGGAGCAAGAGGAAGTAAAAAAAGTTTAAAGACACAAGGTAGCAAACTTTACCTTACTCTTATGTGCTTGGTATTTGCTTGTATGTATGACATGTTTCTATATTATATGATTTTATGAACTCATGTGTTGTGATTGTGAATGTGTTTGAAATATGCCATAGGCCTATATATTTTATGATAAATGCGTGATGATTTCTAAACATGTCATTATGTTATAAATATGTTAAGTTGCAAGCATGTTATAAATGTCAAGCTTGCCATGTATGTTTGGAGTGGTTATTGTTTGCTACTGAGATTCTCCCAAATCTCACCCTTCCCTAACCAACTATTTAGGTCAAGTATGATGGACAGTGATTGTATGAAGGAGAGCACGAGAAGGAAGGAGAAGAAAGTGGAGAATTATTCATGTTAATGAATGAAGCTATTGGTTAATGTATGATTCTCCTATTGTGTAAATTACGTATATGAATGCCAATGATGCAATGTACTTGTTTAGAATATTTATAGTATGAATGAGAATGTATAAGAATGAATGGGAAAAGATAGGGTCAAGCTACACATGCCAAAACAATAAAAAGAATTAAAGCAAGAATTGTCTAATGGATAAAACGTAGATCCTGGAGCAGTCAACTTCCAGTTCTAGTTTGACCTATCAAATGTATGAATTAAGCCATAAAACTTGGTATATGTATTATACACAACCCAAGATTTAAAATGATAGGTAGCTCACTTCAATTGGATGTGTATACTAAGAGATGCGAATTTCCAAAGTTGAGCCAAGAAAACTGGAAATTCCAAAATTTATCAAATAAATAATGATTTTCATGGATTAAACTGTACGAATTGGCTTGAGATAAGTCTAGTTTGATATTTTTCTCCTATAGAGAATTGAAAGGAATTCAATTAGAATTTTGGAGTACCTCAATATGATTTTTATAGAATTAGTTATAATTTTTCAAAGTTGGACTAAAAATATAGAATTTAACCAATGTACAGTAACCAAAGAACAAATTGTAAATTTTTAATCTACAGGTTTGTTTCATGAATCGTTTGAATCGTAACGCTTCTGAACACGTACTCTGAGAGGTTAATGGAAGGATGTTTTAGAACGATTAAAGAATAACTGTGTGGAGGTAGTTTTTCTTTTTTCAAAAATATGAAGTTAAGAAACCACCGGATGGATTAGTCTTTGCATGTTTCAGTTTTTGACTCCTCCCTCTTATTCTTTGTTCTCCCTCCTCAAGTGTGTATTTGCTGTGAGATAAAAGATCTGACTCTGTCATCATGATCGAACCTCCGCGTGGCTATCTGAGGCTGTTATACATTCTAGGTACGCTCGAATTCATCAATGGTATCAGAGTAACGTTATTCTGTAGGCTGTGTTTTTTTCTTTCAAAGACCTGCGTTCATTTTTTTTTATGCTACTTCAATGCTTATTTCCTTGAGTTACCGTGCGTTCTGTGATTTTCTTAAATATACTATGCAAATCCTTTCATTTATTTTTAGTATGATTAATATCTGACTTATTTTTGTAAGTAGAAATACTAGATTCTTTCTCTGCCTCCATGAAATTCGTTTTACAAGACTTATGTTTTCGGTAGTTTCATTTTTTGTTTTTAAGTCTACTTAAAATTAAGTTTTTAGGCTCCAAAACTTATCTCATTGTGTAGAGGATGAAAAAACAAAGAAAACAATATAAAGTACATAAAATTTGGACGTCCAACGAAGGACATATAAAGGAGAGAAGTATTCAAGTCCGACGGGTCCATCAACCCGCCCTGTTTGCAGGCCGGGTTAGGACAACTCGGCTGAAGGTTAAAGACAACCTCTAGAGCCAAAACAACATTGTTTTGGCCCTTCTAAAAAAAACAAAAGAAAGGGAGACGCAGGCCCAAATTCCTTCAGCCCATACCCAAAAAAAAAGGATTGGAATCTATTGGGCCTAATTCGGACTGAGCCAAAAAAAAAGGTCTAAATTATTTTTTTTTTAAAAGGGAAAAAGGTGACAAAACTACCACATGGCACGTGCAGCCACATGGCATGCCCCTTCGACACGTGGATACCACCACCTGAGAGGTGGTGGTGCATGGAGGCAGCCGGCATAGCGCGTGTCGCGGTCGATGGACTACAAGGCGGTGCGTGGAGGTCATGCGCCAAGAGCGTAACTGGGATTCAACATTTTTTTATTTTCTCAATTTTTATTCTTCTTAGGGTGCATGTAGCGTGTGGGAAGTCTATTTTAGGTGTGAGTTGTCTCTAAAATTCCCTAAATTCATGAGCTTCGTTATGGTATATAATTTGCCTATTTTTGGGGCAATTTTGAATATATTTTTTGAGTATTTTAGTGTATTTCTAGTTTTTTTTTGTGGTTAAAAATTCCAGAATACCTCTAATAATTTATATTATTAAATTCCTAGGAAAAAATGAGCCAAGGGGATTCAAGCAGCACTAAAATTACTAAATATGATTCATTAAACCTCATATTCCTCGACGACGAACTTGAGGAGGACCCTGAAGAGGACCCGGAGGAGTTAATAGAAGAACAGCCACTTGAGGAATCTCAAGTGGTCTCGAAGATTCCGGACCTGAGTCAAAGACTTTATTCCCCATTGAACCCCTCTGTGACAAACCTCATTTGGTCTTTAAAGATTCACTTTATCTTCTTGATAAAATCGAAGTTAAGGAAGGAGAAGAGGTGAATCAACCCTGTACCCCTGCTTTAGCTATGAGTATAACTGAAAGAGATGCGGCCAAACTAACAAACATAAAAGGCATCAATGGCTTGCTCACCAGTTACATCCAATATATGATTGATAAGAAGAATACCGAATTCTACCTTAAAGTCATAATGGAATACATAAGAGCAATAAGGTTAGAGGCAGACCTAAAGACAAACCCATAAGGAAATCTTACTTGATTTGGTCTATAGAATTAGTTTCCTCCTTTATGACCAAATCACGCAAACTTAGAAAACTCGGGAACACAATGCTTGATTATTGTCGGGCTCATATTAAATGATGTAATTTTTGTATTTGCTTTATTAATGTTTATTATGTTGAGCTTTTGAGTTCATTTGTTGTAAACAGACTAAATGTCTTATTTTATTTAATGAAATTACTTAAATTATTGTTAGATGATTATTTGTGAATAATATATGTATGCTTTTTATAAGTGGCAGCTTTTAGAAGATAAGACTTCTAAGAGTCACAATTTTTCTGAAGTACTTATACATAATTCTTGATAGAACATAGTGATTATTACTTGTATCTGTGTGATAGGAGGTACAAACATATGTTCTTGATAATGGATCTTGCAATATCATTATTTTCTGATCAAAGATAATATAAGCACATGACATTGTATACTCCGCTGTGCTATATAACTTAAATGTTCTATGGTACATCTCTCTTTTAGAGAGAATGTAGAATAATGTGGAAAAATTTGTCACAGAACTAAAAATGGCAACCAAGAACATTATTGCTGAGCTTAATAAGGGGGATTTATTAAATGAAACAATCATATGAAGCAACATCTGAGAGAGATGGCCAACATGATCAGGGAGCTTAAGGGAGCTGGACACGTTCTGTCTGATAAACAGTAGGTGCAGGCTATTATCAGATCGCTCCCTGCTAGCTAAGAGCATATGAAAGTTAACCTAACTCATAATGAAAACATCGTTACTTTTAATGATGTTGCTAAGCACTTGGAGCTGGAGGATGAACGTTTAGAGGCTTACAAGTCCTTTAGACAAGCTTATTACGCTGAGGATACTAGCACTTCCCAATCAAAGCCCGATTCCAAGAAGGACAAGAAGTTCCAAAAGAAAAAGAAGAAGGGTGGTCCTCAACCCAAAAAAAGGGAAAGAAACAATTCAAGAAGAAGAGAAAGAAAAGTGGGAAGAAGAAGCTGGACCTGAAGAAGGTCATGTCCTTTGCCTGTCAGAGAATGGGCCACTTCACGCGTGACTGTTCAAAACATGTGAATTATGTGAATTCACATGTTTCATATGTTTCTAGTACTGTTTTTCTAACAAAACCTGTTTCTTTTTCTAGGATTGTAGACTCAGGCTCCATAGACCACATAACTAGGGATTGAGGATCCTTCATCGAGTACCGTTGGTTGCCGTATCAAAGCAAGTGGCTTTATATTGGGAACAACGTGAGGATCGAGGTTAAAGGTTTTGGCACCTGTAAATTTACTTTGCATGGTAGGAAGACCTTGATACTCTATGATGTGCTTTGCGCTCCCGACATCTAGCAGAACTTGGTTTTTGTTTTATGTCTCTTAGAGTTTGGGTTTGATGTAAACTTTCATGGTAAAGTTGTAGACATTTCAAGCAACTCACTCCTTTATGGTTTAGCTTTCTTATTTAAAAAGTTCTTTGTTTTGGATATTGTCGTTGATTTTAATCGTAATGAATGATTTGCTATTTCTTTGAGTAATGTTGACATAAACACCTGGCATGCTAGACTAGGACATATTAATCAAAATAGAATGATTAAATTAGCCAAAGAAGGGTTGTTAGGTGCTATTCTGAATATGAAAATGTTCCTATGTGAAAATTGTCTAGCTGGTAAAGCAATAAGAAAACCTTTCGATGAGGTAACAAGAGCTGGAAATCCATTGCAATTAATCCATTTCGACATATGTGGTCTAATGAGTATGAGGGCGAGACACGGAGCTTAGTATTTCGTTACCTTCATTAATGATTTTTCATGATATGGTCATGTCTATTTGATCTCACATAAGTCTAAATCTCTTGAGTGCTTCAGACGATACATAAATGAGTTAGAGAATCAAATGGACAATAAAATTAAAGCATTATACATTGATCGAGGTTGTAAATATTTATCTAAACAATTCAAACAACTTTGTGAAGAGAAAGAGATAATTAGACAACTGACTATCCTTGGCACTCCACAACAAAATGGAGTTGCCGCAAGAAGAAACAAAACTCTTCTAAACATGGTTATGTAGCAAACCTGCCAATTTCATATTGGGGTGATGCTTTATTAACAGTGACCTTCATACTTAACCGTGTGTCCTTAAAATCAGTCGCTTCCACACTCTACGATTTATGGACAAAACGCAAACCAGATCTAAGCATCCTAAGACCCTGGGGGTCAGTGACGTATATCCATGATAGTTCCCACAAGTATGGGAAATTGGGTCCTGGAGGAAAAAAATATATCTTCATAAGGTACTCTGAACAATCTAAGGGATATGTTTTTATAGGTGAAAACAAAGATGGAACGGTGACTGAAATAGAATCAAGAGATGCAACATTCATTGAGACTAAATTTCCTAATAAAAGAGATGTTGACCTCACTTTTTCTCTTTATGAGACACAAGAACAAGACGGTGCAGAACAAATTGACAAACCAGAATCGTCTAGGTGTGTCAATCTGAGTGGGAGCCAAGAAAGGTCAACATCGAGACCTGAACAAAGAAAGAAAGATAAACAAACAGCCCCCTTCAGAAGGAGTAATAGGGAAAGTATTCCCAAAAGACGCTTTCAAATAGAAAGAGAATCTTTCTTAGTTACTCTAAAAGGGATGATGAGCCCCATTCTGTATGAGAAGCCTTGTCAGTTCTGCCAAGGAGGAATAGAAGAAAGAAATGAAAGAAGAAATGGACTAAATGAAAAAGAACCAAGTTTGGGTGTTAGTTGATCTGCCAAAAGGATGTAAAGCCATTGGGAACAAGTGGGCTCTCAAGATTAAAAAAAAGTAGATGGATCA